TTTTTTAGAATCAGTAACGAGTAACGGTAACGAGTTACTTTTTACCAGGGTTGGGAACGTTACTTTTTAAAAGTAACGCATTACCGTTACCGTTACTTGCGGTAAAAAGTTACTCGTTACCGTTACTCGTAAAATCTGTACATAGTATCTTAAAGTAGAGACTTCAAGCTTCAATAAAAAAAAAAAAAAAACATCATGATCCCTCTCACGATAATTTTTCGCGAAGTTATCGTCAGCCAAAGTTGATTAATTTTTATCCTTAAATTTTCTATGCCATAATTTTTTTAAGCAATGTACATACTAAGTTATATGCACGTGGTTGGCTTAAAACTTTATATGTTGCGAAATATTCGATCGAAGTAATCGTATCAGAAGATATCAAATTTTAAATTCTAGATTTCGATGTTTCTTTCCAATATTTCTCCACCGTTACCCAGTTCTAAGCAGTTCTTTAGCCACTCGAGTTTTTTGCTACATCCTTCGCAGTCTTCTTGGAATGAACAAACATTTCAAATAAGAATTAATAAAAATTTATATTACAGATTAAAATATTTATTAGAAGCTGTAAATAATATAACATACCAATAAATCTTAAATTTTCTTGAAATCCTAAAATGACAGGTTTTTCATTCATCAAAATTCTTTTTTTGTGATAAGAATTCCACTCTGTCGTAGAAATGCTCGAGTCGTGCAATATTTATCGTACAATTTCCCCTTAGCTAAAGTACGTTTGTTATTTATCCGATTAATTTTGAATGGCACGCAATATGTTTCAGTCTTTTTCGTTGAAAATGTTTCTTTTATAATATGTGCTAATTCTAATAGCCTTTCCGAGATAATCCTACAAATAGAGAAAACAAGATTTTCTAAAAACAAGAAAAACTATGTTTAAACAAGTATAAATTACTAAAAAAATAAATTGAAAAAAAATTAATTTTTGGATGAAATAATTGTTTTCTTTCTTTTCTTACTTGTAGTTAGTAGACTTTACAATTTCATTTAATTACGGCATTAGTAAGATGCAATCTTAATCCATTATCTAAAGTTTTCGTACTAAGTTTGTCATACGTGATGAGAACAGCAAGCCCTTCTGGCGTCAATTTCAAAATATTTGGTAAATATTCTGATCTATAAGGTGTAGTAAAAAGAAATCCATTATTTTTCCAATAAATGGCTTTAGTAATGTGTATCTCGCGTTGTATAAGTGCGATCGGTTTACGCTAGATGGCGTTAGAAAGATAAGATTTCGTACTAAAAAAACTTCTGAGATAGTTTTGTGATTGTTTGACTCAGTATTGTTTGAGCGCGCGTCAAAGATGGACACCAGCAAAGAGAAAATACGCCATATTTTACAGTTTTTCTTCGATAAAGGCGAAAACGCAAGCCGGGCGGCTGAAAATGTGAATAGTGTTTATGGTCCTGTTACTGTAACAGCCAATCACGCGCAATTTTGGTTTCGTCGATTCCGTTCCGGTAATTTTGATG